CCACTCATTCCATTGGTTTAGTCATATCACTCAACTGACTGGGTTTTTTTAATGTGCTCACCATTTGCTATTTTAGGGTCAAGATTGCAAGAAAGAAGGAAAAGTAAATAAAAAAGAACACCCATTGTCATCCCTGAAAAGGCAGAAGTAGATTTACACTTTATAGGCTAACTAAATCAGAGTTGGTCTATAAGGTGCAACTCTACTCTGCCTTTTTCCTGAGTTAAGACCAACAGCTAATTACTTATCTCATCTCTCTGTAAGGTCAGAAGCACACAGTCCCTTCCTCGCATTATAAGCCAGTGGGCACTGCTCTGCCTCTCCATGCTGGTCAGAGTAGTATGAGCCAGATGGAATCCTTTGCTCCTTGATTCCCAGAAGCAGCCTTCACCTCTGGATTTTAGACTGCCTTTCTATTTACTGATCAGTCCTATAAGAAAGGAAAAGATCTGCTGTTCAGATTTAAGACCTGATGGAATATTTTTATTATAAAAAGAACCCATGGACTTCAATTTAAAAGTGATCTCATTAAATAGCTTTTCATTCTGAGAGTACTAACAAAGGATTTAAAAACAACCATTTGTCTGCACAGAAAGAACAGCAGCAACACCTGTTCTGTGAACCAAGACTAAATGAACTATTAATCATCTGACTTGCTTAATTAAAACTTGTTTTAAATCTGAACATGTGCAGTACAACACTGTAGATCAAGACATGCCTTTTCTCCTCCACCCACAGCACTCAGTTAGCTGGTGCTGGAAGTTAGCAATAACGGTTTCATCATTTTAATGCTGGAAGGTCTGATCCAAAGCCCCTTAAAGCACATGCAAATCATCCATTTTTCAGTGTGTTTTGGATTAGCCTTGCATTAGCCATAAGCAAGTTGTGTTGCCTTTCTGATTTATTTTGGATGTTGTAGGTTTGCTGTGGAACATGTCCTCCAATGACCAGCTGAAAACCCTGCTGATGAGAGATGCCCTGCAGCAACTGACTGAGACAGTTCTCATCCCCTGCTCTGGCTGGCCAGATAGAGATTACCCCAAGTCAGGTGTCTTATCTGACCCTGATATCTTCTACAATGCCACAGGATGCCTGAGGTAAGCTCCCAATCTTATAGATGTTTTTGAACTCTGCATCACTTTAGACCTAGGGGATAGTCCTGTTTTCAGGCCTGCATATAGGTCATATTTTGATAGGCCTGATTTATGTGAATCTGAACTCAAAAGACACTGCAGCACAGTAACAACAACCTTATTGAGAAAATCCTACAACCCCTCCCAGGAGGTACTCAACAGAATCAAATCTCAGTCAAAATTAAAGGTAAACAGGGCCAGTTATGCAAAACATATTATTGGAAACAGTCATATTGAAATAATAAGGATTTCCCAATGGGATCATGGGAGAATCATACCCATGGAATCCTGGGCATGGTTCAGCATGCAGTCATATTGTCAGTGTCATCACCGTTATCATCATCATAACAGAGATCTTAAAAAACAAAAATACCATTAAAGTCAGTGTGGGACTGGGGAGAATTTCATCCAAGACACGATCCAACAATCACTCCAAAAATGGAAAACATTCCTGTAAAATCCTTTGAAGCTTGGCCCAGCCCTCTGTACTTTAGAAAACAATGTGAGTGTCCAGCAAAAGAGTGATTTGGTGGGGGGGCAGTTGGTTTTGTTTTCCAGACCTATGGGTCAGCAATGTTGAGCTCTGTTACTTACTGATCTAAGTCTATTGGTGAATGGTGACACCTCCATAGAATAAAACTCAGGCTACAGATATCTCAGTGACAGAAGCACTGCTTTCCACCCCACTGTCCCATCTCCTGAAGACCTGAAACCTATTTCATTTTATTCAGCACAGTTAATAGGTATAATTTGTACTCATCCAAATTGCTAATAGCTGTACATTCAGGAGCTTCATAAAAGTGTGTCCAATCTTTGCTCCCTCTCTGGCATAGACCTGCTAAGTCCTTAAAATATTTGCACATAGATTGAGTATTTGTGCTTCTGTCTAGAAGGGTGGGTTTAAGATTGCTAGAGCTAAATCATTACTATTTGAAAGGTAATTGTCTCAGAGCCTAGTAACATAAAAAGCAAAGCAGTGTAGTATTGGGTTTTTAATTTGTTTTCTTTTATGCGCTAGAGTGTTATGGAATATGAATTATAGTACATATCTTTTTACATCCATATGTACAGGATGGCCTGTCCTAAGCAAGCATTCATTTGACTGGTAAATAAATTCCATTATTAGAAATTGGTAATTAGTATAGGCTAGAGTATAACACTTACATGTTTGGCCACTTTGGGATGATCTCAAAAGAGGTTCCCTAACAGGACATTACCTGCTATATGGGTTCCACTGGAGTGGGGACACTTCTTGGAATTCTGGGTGGATTAACAGCTTGAATGCAAGCATTCAGTATTGTGATCACATTAAGCAACTGCTTTGTCAGTGTCATCACCTTTATCATCATCTTAATAAAGGTCTAAAAATATAGGTCCACCATCTAAAAAGTCAGTTTCTGGAGAGAAGATTCCAAGCACCTGAGCAAGTCCGGTGTTCCCGTAGTGAGTCTGGGATACTAGAGTCAAAGTACTATGAGTTAAAAGTACTATGACGTAGCAACCTAAAGGACTTTAGACAGGCAGGTTTTTATGGTTGCCAAGTCAGAGCTGACCAAAGCAGCACTACCACACCCTGCTCTGGTGAACCTGTCTGAGTAAGATCATATTCAAAAGGACTGCATGTGCTAAATTGACCGAGAAGGTATCAGTTTAAATTCAGCCGAGTATTTGTGTATTCAACAATACGGTATTTAGGGCCTAATCAGCTTGAGCTGATAATGAAATAAGCACTTCTATTGACTGCTTTTGAGATTCAATGAATCTATGGATTTCTATTAACAATAAAGAGCTATCTGCACTAAAGAACAAAGTGAGTGATTTACAAAGTGATTTATAAAATATTCATACCAATTATGAGACAAAAACACCCTGCTCAGTTATCATGACTCCACAACAAACAAATATTCTCTCTCTCATTTACTACTATGAACAGTGCCCTTAGTTTTATATGTGTAGTCACTGTAGATAAGATACAACCATAGCAACAGAAAGTCAGTCCAAAAGAGACCTTGTGTCAGAACAAGTGACTACAACTGTACAGATGGTGAACTTTGTTATTCCCCTCTGCTTTCAGTCTGCAGAGTATAATTCGCTTTAACTCTTATGTGATGCACTGAAGCATATCGTCATGACCACTTTAATGAGGGTTTCCTTTTTTATTTAGTTGAACATCCTAATAAGATTACTGCTGTTTAGACTTTTTGGATATTTTGACCTTATTGTTAGAGAAACTGTTTTCTTTATAAGCTTTTCTCTGGAGCTTGCCACTACAATATCTAATGACCATACAAACATTAACAAGTTGATTCACACAGCATTCCTCTAAGACAGAAAAATATTATCTGTTTTACAGAAGGGGTATCTAAGGCACAGAGAACTTAAGCAATGTGACCTGCACATGGTCACAGAGGGAGTTACAAAAGATATAGGTGATGATCTTGTACTTTGTGTTAAATCCCAGGCCATTACCTTAACTATCATTATTATCAGCATTTACATGGAAAATAAATGCCCATACATGAATCCTTTATGGGTCAACTTCAAAAACACTTTAATTATTTAATAATTATTTAACTCTTTTAATTGGTATCTTAAGAAGGTTCCCGTATTCCAAAAAGCTTGTTTAAATCTCTCCCAACCAAGCAGTCAGTCCAATAAAAGATTTTATTCACAGATATCTTTGCCTCTCTTTAATTATTTACTTTAGGTCATGGTTTTGATTTTGCAGTACTGTCAAACTACAGTCTTTAATGTAATTTTCCAAGGCCCTTGCCAGACATGCAGGTAAAGATGCAATAGGATCTAATGTACAATCCATACAATTGCACTTCCTGCCATGATACATGGGCTCCCCATGCACCGGCAAGTAGCAAACTCCCATAGATAGGAATCCTGTCAGCTGATCTGGGCTCCCAGCCACAGGAGCACATGTGCCCCTTGTAGCTAGGAGCCCCATCAGCTGATGGGGATCCCAGCCGCAAGGGCATACTTAACCACATGTGCAATTAATGATGTGATAGAAACCAGCCACCACACAGTTATTACATATTTTTTGTGGAATAATTTTGTGGCTTATTTCTTGTCTTATGACACCATTAATTGCTTTAATGTGTGGCTGAGCTACAGCTTAAGTGATAATTAATCACACCTGAAGTGTAACATGTGGCAGGGGCCCAAAGATAACTCTTTTATATTCTGGAATAACAATAAACTAAAGGACACTGCGTCTTTTATAGTTACTTTAGGTTGATACTCCTTCCACCTACTAGGCATGATTCAACATCCCCTCAAGTATAATACATTTCACAAAGCATTTGGATTAGCCTGTTACATAGAGAGCTAGAGGTACTCACCATTGGGATAGTTTTCTTCTCCTTTACTTAGTCAACATACAATACAAATATTAATATCAGCTTTATGGCAACATCTCCAGGCCCTACAGGAGATTTGGACTCCATATGACGAGAAAGCGTCATTGGCCTGAACATCTTACAAGTTAAACAACACAGGCAGGTGTAAAAGAACACAAAAGCACAGGGAGGTGAAGTGACTTACCCAAATTCACAAAGGAGCAGAGATGAGAAAGAATTGGGGTCCCTGGTTCCTGAGTCACCAAATCCAGTGCCCTAGGACTTGTCAACCTGAGAAAACGACACTCATTTAACTGAAGCAATTTGTGTAATAGTGCAATGAACATGTGCAATTAATGCGCAGCAATAAACTCCGGCACATATCACACCAGAGTTTATTACTCCTGGGCGCTGTGTTTGAGCATGCATCGGGGACCACAGCAACATGAGCCAGGTCAGAGCAACCCCAGCTGGTAGGGGGCCAGAGGGTCAGCCTGCCAGCCACACAGCTGCTCCATCCTAGCTCAGTGTGCTTCACAGTAAATGTCTTGTGTAGACACTCCCAGTTTTAGCTAAATTAACACAAGAGTCTCTAGTTTAAATTAGTCTTGAGTTAAAGTAGCAGTCATTTTTTAGGTGAAGAATCTTGTCTAAATCTCGGGTTACCATATGTCCAGGTTTTCCCAGACACGTTATATTTTTGAGTTTTTCCCAGTCTCTTTATTTTTTTGCATCCTCCAATCGCCGTCTGGGGGGGGGGGGGGGGGGGTGTTGTTAATATGATCAAATGTCCAGGATATTGGTCAGCTTTGAAGTTTTTCCTGTCCACGCACTGGGGCTGCACCAGGGCAGTGGAGGCAGGAGGGATGTGCCTGCCCCTCCAGCAGGGGATGGGGCGGGGGGGCCTTCAGGGGCAGCAGGGAGCTGCGTGGCCTGACTGGTGGCACCAGGACCAGTGCCCTTGCTTGCAGGGGCAGGGCTCTGCAAGACGCTGCAGGGCTGGAGAGAGCAGTGGGGGCTGAGGGTCAGGAGTGCAGAGCACTGGGGCGGGGGGGAGGAGCTTTGGCTTGAGATTGAGGGGCAACAGAGTGGGCAGGGGCAGGGCACTGGCATATCACTGCCCCCCACAATCATATACCCTCTCCCCCCTTGCATGACAGATGTCCTCTTTTTTGGCACTGGAAATGTAGTAACCCCATCCAAAGCATTACCAAAATTCAAAGGAACACCTTGCCAGAGTTTTGCAAAGGAAATCAGGACACAGAGAGATTGGTGTTGCCAAATAATTTGTATGTGCATTTGCTAGAATACAAATGTATAATTAGTTCCTATCTTTTGCAATACCTGATGGGGTTGTTGCTCGGGTTGTTAAAGTCTGTAGCCGGCAGCCTTTATCACAGCCTAAAAAGTAAACTTTGAAATTTAGTACATTACGGGCACATCTACGCACGATGCTATGTCACCGTATTGATGCGCTACAGTGATGTAGCATCCACAGGTGTCTACACATAACCAGCAGCTACTTCGTCATAGCAGCGCACTCCCCCCCATTATAGCATGCCGGTATGGCAAAGTAGCTGCTAAAAATAATTGTGCACCATGTGTACAGCACAG